ATATATATATATATGGAAAATGCTTTCATTTTTCTCAAATTTCAAACTGTTGGAGTTTTTTTTTAAATTTAACTTGTCTCAGAGAAGAAAGCAGACAAAGTATACTCAGACATAAGTTACCACAACAGGGCCTTCCTAAGTAGTGAGACATCAGCAAGATAAGGGAGACAAGAAAATATTGCTGCATGTTTAAATATAGGACCTTTAGTTTCACTGGCTTTTCCACAAAGCCAGAAGGGGATGTGTCCAAAACCGCATCAGTTGAAATTTCTGGAAAAACAAAATGGAACTTAGGTGTGGTCCTCCTTAATAGTAAGAATCCAGTACACTGGTGGAAAGCAGAGTTTCCCTCAGGAGAACAGGGGATAGGGACCAACAGTCGCTGCTTGGGTCTCCTTTGAATCAAGATCCTCACTGACCAAAAGTCTGGGAGTCCTATTGGCTATGACTCTGCTCATCTCTAGGTTGGTGGCCTGGGGTAGGACAGTGATTGAATCTGTATCTGTGGCTACCTCTATATCAAGATTTCTCTGCCGCACTGGTTGATTCAAATAAATCATCCTTTAATTCTAGTGGAGCTGAAGGGAAAGACTTAGCAGGTGGAAAAAAAAATCTCCGCACCCTTCTGGTTCATGGAACAGGAGGTGGTCCCTGTGCAGTCACCCAAGTCTCTCCTCCATCAACAGTGGAAAGTCAGGTGGCTGACAGTGCCCAGGGACACGCTCAGTGCTCGCCCTGTGAGGGGTTCTGCTCAGCAAGGAGCCATCGATATTGTGCTTCTGACTGTGCATTGTTCAGACTGGAGCAGAAGGAAACTGCCAAGACTGACTCTTCATGACCTTTACGGGTTCCTGAAAGCTAAGAGCAAAAAACTAAGGGGTTCAGGAGCAAGGAGCATGGCTACTTCTAAATACAAGCAAGAATGGAATCAACACTAAACAGGACTACTCCAACTACTTTCTCATTTTATGAACTATAGCTAAGACTCCATTCTCAGCATGCCCCATAGGACACCCAAACCCGATAGCTTGGGGCCCACTGAGCACAAAAACATTGGAACCATGGAGGTCTATTCACCAACAAGCAGGGTCTCCCTGGGCTACATTCTGGCAAGGAATGACACCCTGCCAAAAAGAAAAAAATCACTACTTCTCCAACATTGTCATTTTGATTTTTGTGTCTGTTTGTTGTTGTTGTAGTTGTTTCGGGGTTTGTTTGCTTGTTTGTTTGTTTTTGAGACAGGGTCTCACTATGTAGTTGAGACTGACCTGGAACTCACTATGTAGCCCAGGCTGGTCTCAAACTCACAGCGATCCTCCTGCCTCAGCCTCCCAGTGCTGGGATTACAGGCATGCACCACCACGCCTGGTTTGGGTCTGTTTGTTTTTGAGACAGTCTCACTATAGCCCAGGCTGGCACTAACCTCCAGAGTGCAGGAGCCTCCATGCCTTCATTTTGCTTTTTCACATTTTCAAAGCAGTAAAAAAAGAAACAACCAAACAATCCAGAAATTAAGAGCTGTACCAGGAAGAGAGTAAGAAGAAGAACCCATTTTGATGCAGGTGAGTGACATATCTCTTCCTGAGAAAGGGACCTGACCTCAAGAAGAGCTAGAAAGGAAAGCTTTGGAGTGAAACATTCCTTTCTTTGTGATTCCTGAGTACTGAAAGTTATTCATCATGTATTTCAGTCTGAGTGTCTAAGTTAAATAGATAATGATGTACTGGTTTCATTTGTTTTCTGGAATAGATTGGTCCAGGCGTTAAAATTTGATACCTATTCAGAAGACTATATGATGTAAAGGATTGAGAACCTTGGAAACCTCATTCTCTAGTCTCCACCTGAAGTCTTCCTTTTTTTTGTTTTTGTTTTCACTTGTGTGTGTGGTATTGGGGATCGAACTCAGGACCTCAAGCTTGCAAAGCAGGCATGGAATCACTGAGCTCAATTCACAGCCATAAGTCTTCCATTTCTTTTTATTTAGATGTTTTAGTTTATCGGTACAGTTTAGGTATACTTACAGTCACATTAATCATTGGGGTCTTGTACCTTTACATAACATATCTTGGTTCTTATTTTTCCCCATTCCCCTTGCCCTCTCTTCACCCCCTCTACCCTACCTATTTACAAAGACTTTGTTTACGTGTTTTTCCTTTTCTCATATTTTTTCTTTTCCCTTTTTACCTTTCACCTACTCCTCCCACTTCCCCTACTTCTTTAGACCTTTTCTTCCTATTATACAACATCAATTATATATATTGATCCTTGTTTACACTTTCAGATTTTCACACCAGAGAAACTATATGGTATTTACACACGTGTGTCCATTAATGTCACTTAAGAGTATGGCCTCAATGTGCATCCACTTAGTTATAAATGTCTCAAGTTTCTCATTCTTTATGGCTGAGTAGTACTCCATTCTGAGTTTTGTTTGTTTGAGACCTTCCCTATGTAGTTCAGGCTGGCCTTGAACTCACTATCTTGCCCAGACAGGCCTCAACCTCAAGGCAATTGTACTGCCTCAGCCTCCCAGAGTGCTGGGATTATAGGTGTGTGTCACCATACCAGCTACAGCATCCTGATTTCAATGATGATATAAATAATGCTTATATTGTGGTACTAAGGAGAAACAAAATGTAAAATTACATATACAACTTGTTTAAAACTGATCAGGGGGGCTGTAGTTGGAACTGAACCCAGGGCCTTCACACTGAGCTAAATACTGACTCTTTTTATTTTCCATTTTTGCTAAATTGTCCAGATGGGTCTCAACCTCACAATCTTTCTGCCTCAGCATCTCACAGCCCTGGTATTATAGGGCTATGCCACTGCTTCTGGCTAAAACTGGATTTTTTAAAAAGCCTTGACAAGCCAGGCATGGTGGCACACACCTGTAACCCCAGCACTCGGGGCTGAAGCAAGAGGAGTGCCTCGAGTTGAAGGCCAGGCTGGGCTACATAGGGAGCTGAAAGCTAACATGAACTACCTAAACAGACCCTGCCTAAAGAAAGAGAAAACAGACCACTGCCATCCTTTTTCCAAGCTCTGCCATATGAATATTATTAACTCATTTAACAAGTTTTTATTGACTATCAAGCATTGTTCTAAATACTATATCAGCAAAAAAAATAGGCTTGATTCTTAGTCCTGGTCAATTATGATGAAGCAGGAGATACAGTGAAAATCAACAAATGGAATAAATTAGATGAGATTAGTAGTATGAAAAGCAATCATTAGGGTAGTTACAGGTATGTAGTGGCAGCGTTCAGTTCTGAGGAAGTGAGTGGGTATACCAGGCTGGGTTTCATACAGACCTTCTCAAGAAGGTCTCTCTGGGAAACAGAGTAAGAAGCAGAAAGAGGTTCATCTTCAGGAAGAGTGCCCCAGGCAACAGAGACAGCAGAGGCAAAAGCTCTCCACGTACTGCTGCCTGGTCTTCTTTTGATACAGGATGAATAAAATTCAGAGGCATCAGAGAGAAATTTTCATGAGGTAAATATACATATAGCAGATTTCCTTTAATCCGCAAATATTTATATTGAATACCCATAGGATTTTGTGCACTATTCTAGGTGCTCAGTGCCAAGCAGCACCCAAAACAAAGTTCCTGGCCCTAATGCAATGTAACATTGTACAGCAAGGGGCTGACAAGCAAGTTGAAGAAATAAAAAAGAAATCCACAGTGTGCTATACAGTACAAGTGATCAGGGGAAGCGGGGCAGAGGAGAGGAATGGGTAAGTGTGTTGTGGGAAGAGATGCAGATCTGGCTAGACACTGAAACAGAGGTGAATCGAAAAGAGAAAACAACACGGAGCTAATTTTTCTGTTCTGGAATCAGTGCTTCAAAGTGGCTTACCAGAAACAAAGATCCTGATCTCAAAATAATCATGAAATTTCTTTAATCCTATTTACTATATGTTTCTTTCTTTTTTTTTTTTTTTTTTTTTTTTTTTTTTTTGTCAGTGCTAAGAATTGAATTCAGCACCTTGTGCATACTAGGCGAGTGCTCTACCACTGAGCTACATCCCCAAACCTCAGTAATGTAGTGCATTGTTCTCTGCTTACACAGAGTGACCGGCAAGTCCTTAAACAGTGCCCACTCACAGTTACCTTGGCTTAAGTAAAGCATAATTAAGGAATCAAATCTGCTAAAATAATAGCCTTTGTGTAAGGAATATTTACTCTGCTCCATCACTGCAGTAAGGGCTAGATAAGTGCATAATTAAATGATATAAATAAAATTCACTTTACCTGTACAATGCTCTGTGAAGTAGGCACCATTATTCTCAGTTTCTGGTCACAGTCAATAAACGAAATGAGTTCCAGAAATTAGTTCCTGAAGTGATCTCAGAGAGATCGCTCCACCGCCACGATCACTGTCCCCAGCCCCACAGGCACACAGACTAAGCCTCAGCAACACCTTTGTGTCTGCTCCATCCATTCCCATCTTCCTGCAGTTTGCCACATCCTGCTTGCGGCTTCCTCCATCGAGACGGCATAATAGTCCACTGTATATAAATACCACTTTTTCTTTTAATTGGATTTGTTGTTGTTGTTTTTTATTTGGTTTGGGGTTTTATTTAGAGGGAGTTTATTGCTGTGTTTTTTTTGTTTGTTCATTGCTCAGGATTGAACCCAGGGTCTTCACAGTGAAGACCTGCATACCCAGCCTTTTGGGGTTTTTGGGTGGGTTGTTTTTTAATTTTGCGGCAGGATCTCAGAAAGTTGCCCAGGCCAGGCTGCATTGTACAATGCTTCAGTGTCAGCCTCCCAGAGCACTGAGATTATAGGCATGTGCTACCATCCCCAGCTTCGCATGCGTTCTTTAGAGAATAGTGTATTCAAGTCCTTTGCCCTTTTATTAATTAGCTTATATATTATATTATTCTTGAGTTACAGAAGACATATATATATATATATTGCACAATCATACCTCACTTCAGTATGCAATGTATTGATAAGCAACAGCATATTTTGTGCAAATGCTATAGAGTGTACTTCCACAAATTAAGATGGCTAAAACATCACTACAATACAATCTGATGGGACCATAGTCATACATGTAGTCCATCACTGACCAAAATGTTATCAGTTCATGACTGTATATATACAAAATGATTCTTTGGATATGTCATTTGCAAATATTGCATTCTGTAGATTGCTATTTCACTTGATTTTTTTTTAATAGGCAGAACTTTTTATTTGTTGTTTTTATTTCGGTTTTGGTGCTAGGGATGTAAACCAGGGCCTTGCCCAAGCTAAGCATGCAGTCTACCACTAAGCTATACCCCCAACAATTAATGAGTTTTTGCCATGAAATATCTAGAGACAAACAACAAAATTACTTGTAATTTTTTCTTCCTGGACAAGAGTTCCTCAGAAGAGCAAAAAGTTAAAGTGAAGACAGTGACCTAAAGCTTTGCTGATAGTAATCTGTGTGGCTAGAGAAGGTTCTGGGTTTTAATACAATTTGCACATACATTGATCATGATAGGTTGGGCATCCATTAAGACTTCTGTGTCAGAGATCCCCACCTGCTGGCTTATGTGGGTTTGAAAAAAAGAAAAAAAATCTAGAACTACAAAAGCAAGTTTTAACAGCAGGGCTCTGCTGCCACCTGCTGATGTAGTTTTAACTTTTCAAATGTTTTACAGAAAAAAAAATGTTCACTTTCACTGAATACATGTGTACTAAATACCAACCACATAAGAGATGCTAGAAAGAGAGAAATGGCACAGGATGGGAAGGTGGATGTGAAGGCAGATGATGTCCTGGTGAGGAAGAGGCAGGGTTAACAAGAGGGTAAATGTGCAGCCCAAAGGATAGAGATGCCTAGACAGGAGGGGTGGAGGGGCCTGGCATGGGGCAGTTAGGAAAGCTTTGTAAGACAGGGAATTCCAAGGCGTCTCCTGAAAAAGGATTGATGTGAGAATGTGAGAGGGTGATAGGAATTGGAGGTACAGGAACAGACAACCACAAGGCATGGAGATAAGGACCAAGAAAGAAAAAAGGGCCAGATTCTAGAAGGTTCACATTCCATGTCTTGGAAGACGCTCCGGGCAAGGACAAAGAACCAGTCATGGGTATCAAGCAGAGAAAGTGTAGAATTAGATCTCCCTTTAAAATACCACTCAGGCAGTAGTATTGAGAAAAGATTGGAAGAAAGTGAAATCGAAACTCAGAGCATCAGTTTGGAATCTTTTTTGTTTCAAGTTCTATAAACCACTCTACTCAAATAAAAGGAGAGATTTACTGGAAAGATACCAGAAGTGCTCAAAACCGTTAGGAGTCTGGGCTTGGAAAGAGGCCAAAGCAAAGGCAGTTTGGGAGAGGCACAGTAGTATAATTGGAACAGTTCCAGAAGTGGTGAGAAAGAAGAACGAAGAAAGTGAAAGAGGGAAGAAAAGAGAGGAAATGATAGGAAGAAAGTATCATACTTTTTTGATAAAGGGGGATTAAAGACTGCAGTTTCGTAATTCTGCGTGTCAAGTAAAAGCCTGCCGCAGTTTGAGAGACTGAGAGAAGAGGATCGATATGAGAGGTGTTTGGGACTCATGGGCGCCCCAACGTGGGCTGACGGACAGTGGCCCAGCCGCACGCACTGACAGTGGCTCCGGTGAGCACAGACCCAGGTGCCGGTGCTGACCAAGTCCACAGCCGTGGATTCCATGCCTTGGTGCAGCCTCTGCCAACTCCGGGCTGGCCCCGCGTGGCTTCCCACCAAACGGCCATCAGAAGCGCAAGATCCTACCGTGGACGAGGCCAGGCCTAGGACGCGGGATCCAACATGGCGACTGGAGCAGGCGCCACGGGGGGGCGGGGACCAGAAGGATCCACTGAGAAGGTTTTTGGGAGGTGGGAGAGGGGCTCTCACCTTGGAATCAAAAATTAAGGAAAGCTGATACATAGATCAAATCACACAAACGGACAGTGAAAAAAGAAAAAAGGGGTGAAGCTGCTGTGGGAGGGAGATCAGCCGGCCACGCCCGCTCCGTGGGGGCAGCCATGTTGGACGCCAGGCGGGGTCTGAGGCCGAGGTGGGCCGAGATAGACTCCAGGCACAGAGCTGGCGTTTGTAGGCCTCACACTTAAGTGGAGCTTAGTAAGTCGTAGGCGGTTCGTCCAAACGGCCTCGTCCAAGTCCTGCATGCAGGTGGACTCTTTTCCTGCTGGGCACCCCAGCGCGCCATCCCAGCCACAGAGTGGACACCTCTCTGAGGAGAACATGGGGCCGGGTCACCTGCGACCAGGATGGGAAGGGGAACTGTGCAGACTGGTGGACTCTTTGGCATAGTGGTTAGGAAAGAATTGCCGCTGCTGTCCTCCCTCGCAGAACCTCCACCAGCACTCACTGAGGCTGGGGACTCTTCCCACAGCTCAGTCGGGACTATAGACTGGTGACTGGCACACACAACCCGAGGAAGCTGCAGACTTCAGAGAGTGAGGGTTCAGCTACACTCTAGTAAACACCATCTCCCAGGCTTTCTGGCAAAGAGATTAATTACATATGAATCACATATACGTTATCTTGTTGGAGTATTAAACCGAGTTCCAATCGGCTATCTTCTGAGTTTTGGATTTATTGTGTTGTATTGTTTGGTTTGCCATTGTTTGGTTGTCTTTTGTGTCTTGTGGTAAGGTTTTTTGCATTTAGTTTTTTCTTTTTTTGTTTTTGTTTTTTTTTAAAGATAAGGTCTTGCTATGCAATTCAGGCTGGCCTCAAATTCATAGCAATCCTCAAATTCTGGGATTACACCACACCCCCAGCTTTCTTCTAGGTGTTTTGACTTATTTGGTATCTAGGTTCTCTCCCACTTCTCATCTCCCTACCTTGGGTCATCTCAAGATCCCACAGAAATTCTACTTGTTAATTCTTTTTCAGAAAGAATATTAGCAGTATATTAACTCTTCCTCTAAAGTTTCTAGTTTGCCTATTCTCTTCTCTCTCAATCACTCCTATCTTCTGTATCAACCCCCTGTCCACCTCATATTATTCCTTTGATTCTTCTGTGTCTTATTGAGCCCTCATTCTACACAATTTTTTTCTCTATTAATATTTTTTATTTTTTAAGTTCTTTTTTGGTGAGGATTGAAGTTCTATCACCCATTTTCTTGTTCCTCCCTTTTTTAATATTACTTTTTTGTTTGATTAAGTTCTCTTTATCCCTCCTCTTCTTTGCCATATCTCTTCATTTGTTTCCTTGTTTATTATCTTTTTTTTTTCTCTAGTTCAATCTCTATTCCTTATTGTTTATTCTTTTCATTATTGGTTATTTTCTGTTATCTAATGCTATTTTTTTTACTTCTTAATAGGATCTTTCATATCAATTTTATTACCTTCTTCCCATCTTCCATTGCTTAGTTTTTTAAAATTCTATTTCTTCATGCTCCCATTCCCTAAACCTCTAACCTTACTACAATAACATAACCATTAGCCCTTATGAATTTGTAGATAGTTAAATGTATTTTATTACACTGTTGGACACTGTTCTAATAGGGTTTTTTGTTGTTCTTTTATTTGGGGTTTTTGTTTTTGTTTTTTTGTTTTTGTTTTTTGTTGTTTTTTTTTTTTTTTTGGTACTGGAGATCAAACTCAGGACCTTGTGCTTTCAAGGCAGGCAGCAGAACCACTGAGCTAAATCCCCTATGGTTAATGGCAGCAAAATTGCTCTACTGAGTAAATGTTTACTATATATCGAGATCTGGCTTGTCTTAGAGTTTGTGATACAACTCTAGAACTTGTTTCTATGGTTAAAGGTTACAGTGTTAGTTATTAGAGTTTGTCATTATCCAGTTTGTATTTGATACTATTATTATTGCTGATTTTACTACTGAGCCAAAGTGACTAGTTGTTGCTATCAGTTGGTTTTCTCTGCATCCCAATATCTAGATTTCCTAGGGGTCATAAATAATACTATAGCACATTACCAAACAACTGGATACTGGGCCAAATAGGCTGCATTCTTTCATCCCTAATAATGAGAAGCAGATGGATCCTGGGACAGACCCAAAGGCCAGCAGCTAGTTATGCCTAGGGGACATCTCTGAAAAGCAGACATTATCTAAATATGTCTGGATACTAGCAATAAAGCTGTCCACCATAAGCAATTTGCAAACCTCAGCACAGAAAACAAATTTTAAAAATAGAAAACAAGAAATTAGGGAATCAAAATGCCCCTAAAAGCTACCAAGTTCCCCAAAGCAAATCCAGGGGGCAACAAGGAGGAAGAAATCAGAAGCCACATTATGAAAATATCTGAAATAGTATGAGAGGAAGTAACAAAACAAATCAATAACATGCTTGGTCAATTCAAACCAGAGATAATTAAAGAGTTGATTACTTAATAAAACACATAATTACTGAGTCTAGAGAAGATACTGATAAAATAGAGGAGCTAAAGACATGCAAACCATAAATGCCCAACTTAAAAAAGAACTGAAGTCCATAAAACAGTCTCAACAGAAATGTAAGAGATTAAAAGCTCTAGTGAAAGTATATACAGCAGAATCCATCAGTGTGAGGAGAGAATATCAGACCAAGAAGACAGGGCTGTCAGGTTTGGTGATCAGCTAATGAAGAATATTTAAAATAGCAAATGACCATGAGACATTGATCCAGGAACTGCTAGATGATGCAAAGAAGACTAATTTAAAATTAGTTAGAATCAGTGAAAGATCAGAAGATAATACAAAGGGCATAAAAATCTATAGAAGTAATAGCAGAAATCTTTTCAGTCTGGTAAAAAAATTTGACATACAGATTACTGAGACATAGTTGTTTTTTAGAAAATATACCAAGAGATATTTGGGCTGGAACTCAACAATAGATTAAATACAAGGGGAAAGGTGAAGAGAGAGGATTATATTGAGGATGACTGAGATTTGTATTTATCACTTTATGGATAATGATACCATTGCTGAAAGAACACTGGAAAAGGACAAAATTCTACATATAAACATATTTTGTACTTCTGGTATATATCATTAACATGTCACCTTTGTGTTGTAGTTATTTATATGCATGTAATTTTTTAAAATCAAAGCTTTTTAGAAGTTGGCAAACTAAGGTCCATAGCCATATCAAATCCTGTTTTTGTATAGACCATGAGTTAAAATGTCTTTTATGTGTTTAAGTTGTGTTAAAGAATAGACACAAAAGGCTGGGGATGTAGCTCAGTGATAGAGTCCTTGCCTAGCATGTGCAGTAATAATTCCACTCAAGAATATTTCTGTTTGCAAACAATTTGGTTCACAAACAGAAGCGTTTGGCAAAATTTTGCTTCCATTTGCAAATTCCATATCTGGTGACAAACACTACCTCATACAAACAAATGCAGCCACCTTCCCCCAAATCATAAAGCAAACTCAGTTCATAAACCAAGGGACCCTTGAATGAGGCTGTGAGCTTGATCCCTAGGACCACAAAGAAAAAGGGGAGGGGAACCACATTAAGATGAATATATGACAAGAACTGTATGCAGCTTACAAATCTAAACTATTTGCTTCCTAACCTTTGATATAAAAAAATTGTGGATTTTTGCTTTATATAGTTTATCTTGCTTTATTTGATAGTGAATGTTTGTAGCATTAAATACCTGAAAACAAGATAGCCTCCAAAGAATCTGAAATTGTAAAAATAATGAATAGGAACCATAAGTCTCATGTTATATGGTATGCAGAAACATGAATATTTTGCAAGCTAAGAAAGGTATAAAATATGCTGACTTAATGAAAATGCATGGGGAAGAAAGTTTTGTAAAAATTTGGAAGTTTACCTAGGATGGTCTAATTTAAGAAATTTAGCAGCCCTGAATTTTTGTGGAGAAATGAACTTTTTTTTTCTTTTTTGGTTTTTTGAAACAGGGTTTCACTATGTAGAGACTGACCTGGAACTCACTATGTAGCCCAGGTTGGTCTTGAACTCACAGCACTCCTCTTGCCTCAGCCTCCTGAGTGCTGGGATTATAGGCATGAGGAAGAAATGAACTTTTTAATCTCTCAAAATCATATAATAATAATGTCACATTTACCTAAGCACCAAGCTTTATTCCCATAATTTCTCAATTTGACTTTTCCTTCCTTTCATTATATAGAGGGAAACTTTCAATTGAATGTTAAAAATGGACAATGGCTCAGTAATTTAGCAGAGTGAAGTGGTCCACTGTGTACCATTGCATTTGTACAGAAATCAGTAATTTGGCTTTGTAAAGCCAATTGTTTCACCTTATCTACTATTGTAGTCAGGGCTTACAAGGGAATATGTTTTATACAGGATGCATAATTTATAGGATTATTTTATAATATTCACCCAAAAGTCAAATGCAGAAGAGTGTGAAAGATTTGTCTATGCACTGGAGATCCAAAGAATCCAGCCAAGGGCCCGGATTCCACAGCAATGTCCTATGAGTCCAGCCAAAGGCCTGGCACCCACCACAGTATTCCCTATGTGTCCACAATGAAAGACTGAAGGTCTGCACCAAAAAGCCCAGGAGCTGGTGCTGAAGGATGGAGTCTGCGCCCAGAGGCATGAGATGACGCCCTGGCAAAGGTAAAGAGAGGAGCTCCTCTGAAGAGAGCCGCCAAAGCTCAGCAGTCTGCTTTTCCAAGAATAGGAGGCAGGCCAGAAATTTGTTGCTGTTTAGAGTCTCTGACAGGCCCCCACAGGTGAACCACAGTGGAGGCTTGCAGGGAAAATCAACAGCATGGGGTCTTCTCCTTCCATTCTCCTTTTGTGTCATTTGGCAACAATCCTCAGGTGGAATGTCCACAACCAGAACCACACTGAGTTAGTTCAGCTGGGCATTCCCACTTAAGTTGACCATTGATTAATCCACCACATCTACAAAGCACTACCACAGTTTGCTTTGTGTCATGTTCTGTAAACTTTACTTAGAATTAAGGTTTGGC